CGTGATTTGGGGGGGGGGGGGGGGCGCGTGATTTGCGCCGTTACCCCTATCTCGTCATCGATCATGCCAAGTTTAGTCAGTGTTGGTGCGGGCCATCGTGATGCTGCGACAAAACCTGCCCTGTTGTCGCCAACGATAGATGGTGCCACCGATTGGTACTTGACCAGAATCAAGCTGCTCTAGCCAACAGCGAGAAAGTTAGGAGCGTGTGGCAAGAACAGGTGACGCACCGCAACCTCGCTGATGCGGACAGCGCGACTTGCTGAACGTGTTCGACACATGCACGCACTGCTTCACTCCCATCCGTGGTACGAAGCGTGTTGTTCTTGCACTACGCGTTGTTCTTGCACAACCCCTATCATCATGATCCGTTTATTAGTCGTATCAAAAACCCGACTACTTCAGCCTGCTAGGAATAGCGAGAACCCACCTTCCTTCTTAACCCTTCTGGGCTATCTCTGCCATTTTGTCACTCACGTAGTCCCCACGATGGCCGAAGCCGACTGTGACGAGCTAGATGATGAGCTCGTAGACAAGCTAAATCATATTTTATTTTCTTCTTCTTTTTTTCCAAAGAAAGAATTGAAGAGCATTCCTGAAACTCCCGGATGTTATTTACACTATTTATCTCTAGCCTTTTTTTGCAAGCTAATTTAATTAAAAAAATCTTCCCCTTTTTTTTTTTTTTTTTTTTTTTTTTTTTTTTTAGTTTGAGGAGTACTGGTGTAGCGAGAAGGCCCGTTGCACTCGCGCAGGCCTCTATTTTCTGCAACCGTCTGTGCCTACCAATAAAATCTCCAAGAAACCTGCAGACAGAGATGTTGTCCCCGCAGAAACTGTCGCATCAGTTCCCGACACCATTGATTTCTCGACAGATGACCCTAGTCCAATGTCGTTTGTCAATGCTCCTGACGTCGACACTCCTCCTACTGCGACACCTGCGAAGCGTCTGAAACGGTACAAGCAGGTGGTCCTGCAGAAGCTCCCAGCTCCACGGACCCTGAGCCCATTGGGTCTTCTGGCGGCCCTTCAACTCCTGGGCCCAGACCTCTGACTAACTAGGAGCCCTATGCCGAGGCTCTTGAGCGCTTATGGTCTGATGTTGTTAAATACTGACGATGGGCTGCCCGCCTTCAAGTGCAGTGTGTGCTCCGTGCATGCAGGACTTGCTGGGCGTACTAGAAAAGGTGGCAAGGGAGCTACTGACATGCAGGCGCAAGCTTTCAAAAGGCACTTCGGCACTCAGAAGCACCGTCTTGCCATGAGCAGGCAGGACGACCTCCTCCAGAAGGCCAACCGGCCAAGAATCGACATGCATCCTACTGCAGCTGACGAAGAAAAGGAGCGAGTCATCGTGCTGCTCGACTCCCTCTACGATTGCAGTAGGTGTAACAAACCCATGGAGACGGATTCGTCTCGTTCAGTATCTCTCTCAGCTCGGGTTCAAAGGGTTTTCGAAAGCATCGTACGGCACTAACTAGAACTTATAAGCCTCTCCTTTCTCTTGCATGGTTGTTCTTATGCCGACGATACCACAAACCCTCACAACATTGTTCGTTACTTCTGGCAGATATGGCTTCGGTGAGCTTACCCAGGCTACGACGACATGGCTGTAGATGACACAACTTCAACACCTCCTCTCCAGTCCATTCATCGGGCTTAGCCTCGATGAGAGCACCGATCGTTGCCGGGGAAAGCAGATGATAGTCTTCACGACTTTCATCCGGGAGAGTCGGCTAGTGACGGAATACCTCGCTCTCCTGGCTGTTGCTCATGCCGATGCCACGTCATTGCTTGCATTGCTGCTGTCTCATCTGCATGCAATTGGAATGGATCTCAACCGCGTGTCGGGCATCAGTACGGACAGCGTTGCAGTCATGATGGGGTCTTGCGCCGGGCTGGTGGCTCGATTGCGTCTTCGCATCCCGCACCTAGTCTCCTGTCATTGCATCACGTACCAAGATTTGCATGCGTGCGTCCGTCGTGTGTTGCCCATGTTGAACTCGAAATTATACACGCACTTAATGCTAGATTTTGCTTGTCCTCGTGCTGTTGTGTGCATTGGCAGCAAAGGCAGCGGTGGAGGACATCCTTGCCTTCGCCATGGTCGACCACTTGATCCGCGACGTGGTGGAGCTTCTTGGGCACAGCGGGCCTTGGCACTAGCCGTTCCTTGATCTCCATGAGGTTTTCACCCAAACCAGTCTGGAGCTTCAAGGAATTCAGAACATTCGCTGGCTCAGTCATGGTGAGGCGGTCATCCGACTGGTCGAGGTGTTGCCGGCTGTCGTCGTCATGCTCCAGAAGTACGACAACCGGCTCTACCACCTTGTGACGAGCTACCGGTTCTGGCTCTTGCTGATGTTCCTCACCGAGATGCTGGAACAACTCAATGTCCTCAACAGAGTCATCCTGCAGCGAGACGTAATGCTTCTTTTTTATATTCGACAATGTTCCACCCAATGCTATATGTTATACTCTGTCTTCCACTGGCACGAACCCATTCGTTGTTTCCATGTTCACCCAATTCCCCCTCATCCCTGGCAGCTCAACTACACCATGCTGCACGCGCAAATCGTCTCGCACGACGACGCTACTGTAGAGCCGCTATGTCGATTGTGCTGATGATTTCAGAGGCGGCCCGAACGATCGACTGACACGGTTCCTCGTGTTAAATTATATATTATGTTATATAATTGGTAGGCTTGGTAGGTTTTATCGAACTCTACTGTAGGAGGTACAACTCCCTCCTTGTATGCCTCTCTCTCTTTCTAGTTCACCCTCTTTTCTCTTGTCAACTTCTCTCCTAGCTCCTAAACCCACACGCCATTCCATGGCTTCCTTCCGTTCCTCCTAGCCTAGTCTTTTAACATGGTAACAGAGCCGGTTCCCCTTCGCGGGCCTGCTCCCCACGCTTTTGCCGCGCACTCCTTCTTTCCCATGCGCGCTGCCATGGCGGCCGCGTCGTACTGCTGTGGCGGCGTCGTCGTGCCGCTGGCCGCGTCGTGCCGCGATTGTCTCGACGCGCTGCCAAGACGTCGCGCCGTCGTGGCGTCGACGTCCAGCCGGGGCGGCGTCGTCGTCGTCCTGCCGTGGCATCGCGCCGTCGTGACTTCGACGTCCAGCCGTGACGGCGTGACGGCACCGTCGTGCTGCCGTCGCAATGGCGACGTCCCGCTGCGGCATCGACGCCGCTCTGTGACGGCGCCGTCGGGCTGCAGCCGGCCGAGCGACGCCTGTGGCACCGCTAGACCTGTCGCCCGCACACCAGCCGCGAGCGTGATGCTGGACCACGCACTGCCCCCCCCTGTCCTTCCCCTGTGTCCCCTCCTCCTCGCCACAGCCGACGCCTGACTCGTGGGGGCCCCATCGCCGCGGAGATTGACCATGCCGCTGAGAGGGTGGGGGCCGCTGCTGTCGCCTTTGACGTCCGAGCCGCCGCCGCCGCCGCTGTCGCCGCTGGCGTGTTCCCGCCGTACGCCGCCGCTGTCGTCACTGCCGCCGCTGCCGCCATTGCCATCTCACGGGCCGTGGGGGCTGGCCCCACCGGAGTAGTCGGGGCTGATGCTTGGAATGGGGGTGCTAGGTTAGGGGGTGTCGGTGTGTGTGGGCTTGTGATTACCAAGCCTAGGGGGTGTGTTAAATTATATATCATGTTATATAATTGGTAAGCTTGGTAGGTTTTATCGAACTCTATTGTAGAGAGTACAACTCCCTCCTTGTATGCCTCTCTCTCTTCTAGTTCACCCTCTTTTCTCTCGTCAACTTTTCTCCTAGCTCCTAAACCCTCACGCCATTCCATGGCTTCCTTCCGTTCCTCCTGGCCTAGTCTTTTAACACCTCGCACTACACGGCCACGGGAAGTCGAGGAGTGTCGTTGTGGAGGGCATCGACTTTGACGGCCGAACTGCGCGCTTCACCTTCGAGCTGCACACGGAGCCGCTGGAGGACTATCCCGGGCCTGGCGACCATGATGGTAGCGTCGGCGCACGGATGGCCCTGGCAGAGGGGCTCGTCCACAACATCGACGAGCGGTCGGGGGTGCAGCTCTTCTGTGTCGACACGTGGCCTCCCAACTGGGATCGGCAGGCATGGAAGGCGTAGTGCCTGGAGTGGTTCAAATCAGTTGTGATGCTCTAATGCGCGGACGACAGAGACGAAATTTTACTTGGTGAGTCTTCCCTGTCCTAACAGGTTCCCGGTGTTCTTGATTCCTTGTCTTCCTGGTTTCTTGTCTTCCTGGTTTCTCGATTTTCAGATTCCTTGTCCTCCCCCCTCCCCACCCCCCCGTCTTCCCGGTTCCTCACTTTGCACCTCTTTCTGCTTCTCTAAAACAAGCAAAGACAAGCGCAAGGCCCAGCAAGAGCTGCACGACTTCGTTCCAGACCTGGCAGCGCTCCCGAGGGCGGACTGGAAGTTCCACACATGCCTCACCGCCACGCTCAACATGCAAGACTGGAGGGACAGCTATCCCAATCTCATCAAACTGTGGGTGGCAGTGGATGTCCTGCCACTAAGCATAGTGGAGTGCGAACGCTCCTGTCATAATGCCATCAAGAGCTGGCTGCAGGGTGCTTTGAAGGACACCAGACTCTTAGACCTCATGTGCATGTCGATGCTAGAGTATGAACCAGACTGGGAGCTGGTAGTCTCAATCTGGAGGTCTTACAAGAAGAGGAGGCCCCTGAACGATGCCCCGGCTGCCAGAGGTGAGGGCAATAGGAAAGGCAAGGAGAAGGTAGTTGAAAAGACGAGGTGGCAGCTGAGATAACCACTGTGATTGAGGAGGCTGAGGAGGAGGAGAAAGCGAACAAGTGGCAACCAGGACAGGTGTACGATTTAAGTAAGCAGGATGGAGAGTAGAAGTGTTTCCAGTACACATTCTTATTTCTTGTTTAGAAAAAAAAGGCTTCAAGATGAGGCATTGGTTGTTCAAATGCGAAACGGCAGCGGCTATTGCACGAAGAACCCCACAAGTTGCAGGTGAGATTCTTTTCAACCGTCCCAGCAAGCACTCCAACTGTACTAACCTGATCTTCCCGAGGTAGCCGTCGATGCAGATTAGGGTTAGACTACGGTAAGGATCGCAGATCAGGGATTGCCTGCTGGACGGCTTTCGTGCGAAGCGAACAGTACCCGAGTCTATTCCCATCCCACTCCGCACAGTTCTTCTGCACCTTCTGCTCCCTGAGCCACTGAGCCCTTTCCCCCCAGAACACCTAAGTCATGTCTAAGCCAGGTTTCCGCGCGTCCCCAGCGCCCAACCCTGTCGGCAGCGCGCGCGGGGACAAGCTGCGGATGGCGTCGGAGCCCGCGCGTCGCGATGCCAAGCCCAGCCAGCAGCACGCCCGACGAGCCGGGCTCAATCTCTCCGCTACAAACGCTGTCGCGCCGAGCGGTAGCCGTAATAGTGGCGCTGGTGCTGTTGCTGGTGCTGTTACGAGGGGTGTGTTCAATTCCGGTGCTGTTATGAGCGGGAGCGGCGGCGGCGGCGGCGGCAGGGGTGGCGGGGGTGGCGGCGGTGACGGCGGTGCTGGTGGTGGCGGCGTGTCGTCCGGTGGGGGGGGGCATCGACGGCTCGCCTCCGCTGTGACCGCCGCCGCTGCAGCCGCTGCGGAGCGGGCGTTGCTGGCGGACGCGGTGGCCGCGGCGAACCCGGACGTACGCACGGCCTTCGCGAGCCTCGGCGACGCGTGCGACAGGTGAGACGGAGGCAACAGCAGCAGCAGCACGTGCGACAGATCGCGGCAGGGTGTGTGGCAAGTGTGTGATGCTGCGCGGGTGCCGTGTTTAGC